CATTTCCTCAGAGAAAAGCAGCAACAGGTCAAGGTAAGAGGTCTAAACCAGGGTTTAAACCAAGGCTGCATCTACACTGCAGAATTAATGCAGTTTGACATGGCTTTAACTGCCATGGCTCAATGGCTCTGGGATTCTGGCGTTGGTCGTTTTGTGAGATGTTTAGCCTTCTTGCTTAGAGAGCTCCAGTGCTACAACAAGCTACAAATCTCCATAGCATGGAGACATGGAAGTTAAAGTGATGTCAAACTGCATTATTCCTGCAGTGTCAGATGCAGCCCAAATGGCTTTAATAGAAAACTTCCTCTTTTTAAAAATGGATTATTCATATATACAGTGGCTTCTTGGTATCTGCTGGGGTTTGGTTCCAGGACAAAAACCATAGATGTTCAAGTCCCATTAAATACAGTGGCATTGTAAAATGGTGTCCCTTGTATAAAATGGCAAAATCAAAGTTTGCTTTTTGGAATTTAATTTTTAAAAATATTTTCAAACCATGGATGGTTGAATCTGTGCATAAAGAATTGGTGGATATAGCAGGCTAACTCTGTGTATATGTTTGTGTGTGTGTGTGTGTGCGCACACAGAGTTGACCTGCTGTATTCACCAATTCTTTATCTGTGGATTCAACCATCCACAGTTTGTGGATACACACACACGCACATGTATGTTGCTGTGCGCCTTCAAATTGTTTTGGACTTCTGGCAAACATAGGGCAATGCTATCATGGGGTTTTCTTGGAAAAATTTGTTCAGAGGAGGTTTCCCATTGCTTTCCCCTGAGGCTGAGAGAGTGTGACTTGCCCAAGGTCACCCAGTGGGTTTCATGGCCAAGCAGCCTCGATGATGAAGCCTGCAATCACATTGGCTTTGCTAGCTGCTGCATCACACTGTTGACTCATGTTCAACTTGTGGTCTACTAGGACTCCTAGATCCCTTTCACATGTAGTCTTGTCAAGCCAGGTGTCCCCCATCCTATATTTATACATTTCATCTGTTTGCTCTGTGTAGTACTAAATATAGGATAGGGAAGGCAGAACATGGATGGCACCTGGAATATTTGCCTCCCGTTGTCACCATAAGACATAATGGGGCACACATACACACACACTAGTGTTAAGGGCCACAGTAAGTAAAGCCAGATGAGTTATTCCAACATAACATGTTAGAGAATTCCCTCGAAGACTTCTTCCTAACTTTTAGGCTGCTCTTTCATGCCACCCTTCATCGGCTGCCTGAGATGCTGCCTCACTCTCCCTTATGGTAAGGGCAGAAGTGCTGCCTTGATGCTTATTATCTCTGCTTTTCAAAAGGTGCTGGGTCCATGTCAGGAGGTGGTTGTAGTCTCTCCTGAGATGGACTGGACTCCATTGCGCTCAGGACTAAGCAGGCCGGTCCAGCGGGAAACGCAGCTTTTCAACGGTCAAGAACTCAGATCATCAGGTATGGTGGAAGATGCTCTTTTTCTGGGCTTGGAAGTAACAATGGTCCTTAAGAGTGGGCAATGTGTGGCTTAGGGGCAGAATATGAGGCTGTTTTTTGTTTTTGTTTTTTGAAAGGCCAAAGGGTTTCTAGTACACCCAATTTTTTTAAAACCAAGTACAGTGAGACCTTAGTATCTGCTGGGGTTTGGTTCCAGGACCCCCTGTGGATACCAAAATCCATGGATGCTTAGGTCCCATTAAGTACAATGGCATAGTAAAATGATGTCCCTTATATGAAATGACAAGATGAAGCTGTGCGTTTTGGTATGTATATTTTTGTTGTTGTTAACTGCCTTCACGTGGATCTCGACCCATGGCGGCCCTATGGATGAGACCTCTCCAGGCCCCCCTGTCCTCTAATGCTCTGTCCAGCTCCTGCAAACTCATATTCGTGGTCTCTTTAATAAAGTCCGTCCATCTAGCATGTGGCCTTCCTCTCTTTCTGCTTCCCTCCACCTTTCCTAACATTATTGTCTTTTCCAACAATTCATGTCTTCTCATGATGTGTCCAAAGTACAACAGTCTTAAGTCTTGTCATCTTGGCTTCCAGGGATATCTCTGGCTTGTTCTGCTCCAGGACGTATTTGTTTGTCCTTTTGGCTGTCCATGGGATCCTCAGCACGCTTCTCCAGCCCCACATTATCTCAAAGGAATTGATTTCCTCCTATCTTCTTTCTTAACTATCCAGCTCTCACATCCATACATCCACATCCAATAGGGAATACTATGGTTTATATGATCCTGACTTTTGTGCTGAGTTGTATGTCTTCGCATTTTAGGATCTTTTCTAGTTCTTTCATAGCCGCCCTCCCCATTCTTAGTCTTCTTCTGATTTCCTGACTGCAGTCCCTATTTCTATCAATGTTTGATCCCAGATATGAGAATTCTGTTACTATTTCTATTTCCTCATTGTCTAGTTTGAATGTGTGTAAGTTCTCTGTGGACATTATTTTTATTTTCTTTATGTTCAGCATTAAGCCTGTCTTTGCACTTTCTTCTTTGATCTTCCTCAGTAGGTGTTCCAGGTCTGTGAGGTTTTCTGCTAGTATTACGGTGTCATCTGCATATCCTAGAATGATATTCCTTCCTCCTATTTTCACTCCTCCTTCTTCTGTGTCCATGCCTGCTTTTCTTATAATATGTTCTGCATATAAGTTGAACAGATAAGGTGAAAGGATGCAGTCTTGTTTGACCCCTTTGCCAATTGGGAACCATTCTGTTCCTCCTTGTTCTGTTCTGGCAGTAGCCTCTTGTACTTAGGACAGATTCCTCATCAGAACGATCAGATGTGCTGGCACTCCCATGTCTTTAAGAGAATGTATATATTTTTAAATTATTTTAAAACAGTGAAAGCTTGAATCCATGGATAAAAAATCCATGGATAAGGAGGGCTGACTGCACAGCTATGCCTTCATTATTGAAGTTGATATGTTTGTGGACACTAATCCTTTAACAGAACATTTGGTACCAGAGGCAGAAATAACATGGAAAAAATAGGAATAGGTTCCTTCGCCAAAAAAGAAGAAGAGCATTCCAACAAGTTTTAGCAAACTTTTTATTCAGTCCTAAAAAATATGCACATGTAAAATGAAGCAACCAGTAAGCCATGCATTACTAAGCAAAAAAAGTCTGAACTTCTAGAGACCACTTGAAAGGTTTTTCCAAAATGCATTGAGCTGTTGTTTTTTATTATTATTATTTCAGCAGCCTCTGCTTTTCTTAATATTTCCATTTTGGTGGTCAAATGAAGAAATCTACCGTATATACTCAAGTATACGTCAGTCTCATGTATAAATCGAGAGCAGGTTTTGGGGGCCAAAATTATAGATTTTAATATGACCTGTGGATAAGTCGAGGGTAAAATTTAGGGGCATATAACAAAGGATCTAAAGGATGAAGCAAAGGAAAGCAATGCCAAAGAACTTATAAAATTCCAGCAGACATAATTGTTTGTGCTCATACTAAAAGTTGGAAGGATGAGAGAATAGAGGAGAAGTCAGTGCTTCCAGAACAGATTATGCTCTTGCCTTTTACCAGGGGATGGTTCCTTCTTGTATAAGAACTAAAGTACTTATATTGACCTGGGGATAAGTCGGCTCAGGTATTTTTGGTCACGTTTTTGACTAAAATTTCTAGACAGAGACAAGAGACTGGTCTCTACTGACGCTCAGCCAAGGCTTTTCAGCTGTTTTTTGTTTTTTAAATCTTGGCTATGCAAAACCCAACCTCACTTTCTCTCCTCTTCTGGTCCAGGGAACATCAGATGCCCGGATGCTTATGCTCTTTCCTCCAGCAAGAGAACCGTGAATGAGAATAAGATGAAAACATCTCATCACCAAGGCGTTTCTGAACTGCCCGTTCTCCTCGGGACTTTATCGGGACAATCCGACTCGCTCGAAATCAGTCATGGCCTCGAGCCGAACAAAAATGGGACGGAACCGATCGAGGGAAGGGAGGAAGCCACCCTTTGCAGTGAAGGCGTGTACGAGACGGTGGTTCGGCTGGAGGAACACGGGCATTGGTGCCTTGAATGTGGCGAAAGCTTTCTGGACGCCTTGCAACTGGAGAGGCACCAAAAGACGCAGCATTCAGGGCGTAAGCGTCCCGAGTGCCCGGAGTGTGGGAAGAGTTTCCGGGACCTTTCACATGTCCTTCGGCATCAGACAGTTCACACAGGGGAGAAACCGTACGCCTGTTCCGAGTGTGGGCAAAGCTTCACCCAGAAACCAGCTCTCAATAGACACCTGAGGAAGCATTCAGAAGAAAAGGACTTCCCAGGTACAGATCCAGATCTGTGGTTTTCATCTAACTGAGTCTGCAAATGTTACTTTTTGGGACTATAACAATAACTAGAATCCCCTAGCCAGCAGTGCTTCCTCTCAACACTCACCATTCCATGATAGCTGGGCATACCTAACTGTCTCATGGGGCTGTTTTGGATTCCTTCCATAATAATAATAATAATAATAATAATAATAATAATAATAATAATAATAATAATAATAAAATTTATTTTTATCCCACCCCTCTGAGATCAATCGGGGTGGCTAACCAATATTAAAATTAGAATACATCAAACCCCCATCCCCTCCCCCCCTTAAAAAAGTATTAAACCAGATACAGATTAAAACCAACAGATAATTTTTTTAATATGTTTAGTGCTTGGAGTGCCCTGAAGCTTACTAGTTTTTCCCTTTTGTACATGAATGGGAGGTTCTGTTCTGACTACCTAAAGATCTAGTTTCAAAGGATGATTTTACTATTAATATCATGACAATTAAAAATTAGAGCCTCCATATTCAGAGGCAGTATGGCTCAGGAAAAAAACCTGTAGAAACAAATCATTGTAGTTTGGGAAATGCTCCTTTTTGCATTAGAATCCCCAGAATTCACATGGCTGCTGGCTATTTTGGCTGGGAGCAGCAGTCCAAAAAAGTAATGTTTCCAAGATCTGCTTTCCAAGATTGATCGATAAATCAATTAATCAATCAATGAGATCTATAAATAACTGGAGAGAGCCAGCGTGGTATAGTGGTTTGAGTGTTGGACTATGACTCAGGAGACCAGGGTTCAAATCCCTACTCGGCCATTGGAGGCAAGTCCCATTTTCTCAGCCTTAGAGAAAACTGAACAAACCTAACCAAGAAAACCCCATGATAGGTTTGTCTTTGGGTCAGCCTAAGTTGGAAATGGCTTAAAGATATGCAACAACAACAATCTAGTCCAATTTTGTTCTAGCCCCAAAATCTAACCTAGCAGGGGGAATTGTATGGCCCTCCAAGTGTTGACAACAAAAAACCACTTGAATTTCTCCCCCAAGCTCTGAACTTAACACTGACCACCTCATGCAGCAGTTTGGGGATGTGAAAAGGAGCAGCAAATGCAAGCTAGTTAATTTTTAATTTTATTTCATTTTATTGCTCAGGAGAGGAAGAGGCTTTAGGTTCTTTGGTCTAAATACTCTAAAAGTAATAAGATTCCATTTGATCTCAAAAGCTAAGCAGGCTCTTCCTTGGCTAGTACTAGGATGGAAGACCGCCAGTGAGTACCAGGTGCTGTAGGCTATATTTCAGAGGAAGGAACTGGCAAAAACTTCTCTGAGTATTCCTTGCCTACGTCAATCCTATGAAATTCATGGGGGCACCATAATAACTTGAAGGCACATACACACATACTTTGACACAAGTAAGTTGAGGCATTCGAAGTTATCACACGGAGGCAAATTGCTTAAATCCCATGCAGAAACGTCATTTAAAAATCAAAAAAAACCTGCAGAAGTGGGTTGTTTTTCAGACATGTTTGTGTAAAGGAGAAATAACGTGATATTAACCCAAATGGAAAGTCGCCAAAACCCGCTCCTTTTTTACTTTCGGAAGTTCTTGAAAGTAAAAAGGAGCAGGTTTTGGCGACTTTCTGTTCAAATTAATGACACGTTATTTCTCCTTGACACCAACATTGTGTGAAAAACAACCTGCAAATGCAGGTTAAATCCAATTTCTGCATGGGATTCATCCTGTGTGATAAACTCCATTGTTTGCTTCTCTGCCCTAGTCTTGGAGTAACATGGTTTGGAGTGAAGATGAACTTATTGGTTAGGGGAGCAAAATGTATTTATCAGTGCTCTAAATGCTGCCTGCCACTTGACATTTTCCGCCCAAAATTCCTCTTGAGGCATAATCTTTTAACTATAACGAAGCTTTAAGTGACTCATGATCATTAATTACAATTTTTCTAGGAAAAATGTGTATTTTAAAGTGCATTTTGCTTTTATTTATGTTGACCAGAGAAGTCATCTGCAATTCTGGGGTCCACTTTGAATCACACGGGTCACATAGGACATCTTGTTAGTGTCATATATACTCATGTCCTTTTTTTTTAATAGGGCCAAGGGAGCTTTTCTCTAGCCCTTTGTGCCCCATCTACCACCTTCCCCTGCCAACTGTGAACCCAAAGGGAGACCACTGTGGCTGTTTACCAGAGGGAAAGGGGACTCCGAGGAAAAAGCGACTACTCTGGGCTGCGAGGGGAAGGAAATGCAGAGTGCCCTCCAACTTTGGATGCATCCTCATTTCTTTCCCCCTGTGCCAAGACCAGCAGTATCTTTGTTTTCTGAATTGTCTTTTCCTTCCCTCGCCTCCTCATTGGAAAATAGCAACAACCTCATATTACAGAATGATGGAGAAGGGATTGCAAGCTCTTTAACAAATGAATTGCAGCCCCTGAAGACTTCAAAGAGAAACAGTTCTTTCTAGTTTCAGGGGAGGGAGAGGCAGACCATGGGTGATCCAGAGAGTCAGGAGGGATGCAGGTGACCAAAGGCTTCAGGTGGGCCTAGAGCTGCCTTTGCCCACCCCTGATCAAAATGATGGTTCTTCGCAAACAATAAAGATGTAAATCATGTGCTGTCATTCATGGGTTTTTTTTTTAAATGAGCCAGAAGTGAGATTCCTTTTCAGAAATGTAATCATTCCATACACCTGAAGAATACAGTTGGCTCTCTTTATCCATGGATTCCTTATCCACAGATTCCACTATCCATGGCTTGAAAATATTAATATATTCCAAAAAGCAAAGCTTGATTTTGCCATTTTATATTAGGGACACCCTTTTGCTATGTCATTGCATCCCGTACGCGGGCTTGCCATATGCGGGCTTGAGCTCATACAGACAGCAAGCCCGGGGGGACAAAATGGCACACGCACGGGACTTGAGATCTTGCGTTTTTTTCCATACGTGGGGGACATGGAACGGATCCGCATATACAAAGGGCCCACTTGAGCATTCACTGCTTTTGGTATCCATGGGTGGTGGTGGGGGAGTCCTTCTCAAACTCTGCATAGGGTTTTATATATATATATATATTATACATATACACTTAGATGACTTTTGCTTCTGGATGTACAGGTTTTGAAATCACCATCAGACCTCCAAGGAACCACACAGGAGGCCGGAAACGGCCCGAATGCCTGGAATGTGGGAAGAGCTTCCGGGACGTTTCGCAAGTCCTTCGGCACCAGACGGTCCATACGGGAGAGCGGCCTTACAGCTGCCTTGAGTGCGGGCAAAGCTTCACTCAGAAACCTGCTCTCAACAGGCACAAGAGGAAACATCTGGAAGGCAAACACTACACAGGTAGGGACAGAGCCTGCCCTTCTGAGAACCCACTTCAGGCCTGGTGGGCTTTTCCAGATGTCCACATCCCCTACCACACAACACTATTGTTTAGTGGCTTTTGTATAGGCTCTCCCATTATAAAACAACAACTATTTTTTATTTAATAAAAAGTGGGATGCTGGTGGTAGTGGTAGTTATCTTTCTTTAGATCCTGCCATTTTCCCAGTTTAGCGGTGCATTTACACTGTAGAAATAATGCAGTTTGAACCACTTTAACTGCCATGGTTCCATCCTACAGACTCCTGGGAGTTGTAATTTTGTGAGGGACCAGCACTCTGACAGAGAGGGCTAAAGACCTTGTCAAACTACAGATCTCAGGAGTTCACAGGATGGAGCTCCATAATTTAAAGTGGTATCAAACTGCAGTATCATTTTACAGTGTAGATGAACCCTGGGACTCAGGGCAGCTTGCAACAGCTCAAATAGACACAGCTAAAAATTCAAAAGGTACAAAGGTCATTGGACTGTCAAAGAATTAAAACCTGTTTTTTAAAAAAAGTATAAGACATTCAAAGAAATCAGCAAACAGGTCCTAAGCACACTGCAGAAATAATCGAGTTTGACACCGCTTTAATTGCCTTGGCTCAGTGCTAGGGAATCCTGGGAATTGTAGTTTGTTGTGGCACCAGAGCTCTCTGACAGAGAATGCTAAATGTCTCACAAATCTACAGTTCCCAGAATTCCCTAGCACTAAGCCAAGACAGTCAAAGTGGTGCCAAACTGGATTATTTTGGACCAGAGAATCCAGCACATTTTGTGAGGCCCTTGCCTCTTAAACAATCCATCCTCAAAGGTCTGCCAAAACAAAAAGTCCTGCACCTGTTTGTGGAACAATAGCAAGGAGGGTCCCAGTCTATAGTCTATTTGTGAAGGGAATTCCAGAGCCTGGGAGCAGCCACCGAGAAGGCCCTCTCTTGTGTTCCCATGAGATACACCTGTGAGTGAGTGGTGGGACAGAGAGAAGGGCCTCCCTAGAAGATCTCCAAATAACCTGGACCTGAGGTTAAAAGCCTCTCCAAAAGCTTCCAGCAGGAATATAGCTACGGGGTGGGGAGCATGAATTCTGTCCACCTATAGAAAATGTCTTTCTCTCCTCCCCCCATGGAAAATTCCCATCCTAGCAAGGCAGCCTAGAGATCATGGTCAATGGTATTGAAAGTTGCTGAGTGGTACACCCGAATTTCACACACCCTGTCTAGTTCCCAGCCCAGGTCATCCGCCAAGGTGACCAAAGCCATCTCTGTCCCATTACCAGGACTGAAACCAGATTGAAATGGCTCTAAATAATCCTGTTTCATCCAGAAACCCCTGGAGCTGAGAGGCCACCACACACTCCAGAATCTTGCCCCAAAATGGAATGTTAGAATGGTGGGATCCAGGGAGAGCTTTTTAAATAATGGTTTTGCAAGCCTCTTTCAAGCTGGCAATCTTGTTTTGGTGAGGCATTGACCACACTTTCTGCCCACTCAGCCTGTCTCCTCTGGTTTTTTAATAAGCCAGGAAGAACAAGGATCTAACGCACATGTGGATCTCATCTCTACAAGAATCCTGTCCAGAAATGGAAAAGAATCCATTATTACTGGACAAACAGGAGGAAAAGTTACATCCATTGGATGTGTATTAGTTATAAGCATCCAAGTCAGAGTGGATCTAACATAATAAGAATGTCTCTTCAAAGACATAGGACGTTATCACACGGGGGAAATATGTTGGTTAATCCACACAAA